TATCCTAAGGGATGATCTATGCCAGAATAATATGCAAATAAAATATTGGGACACCTATTTTTATGTTTTTTATTTTTAAAATGGAAAATAATCTGTCCAGATACAGAAACTACTGTTTCCCGTTGGACTCCTACTCAGCTTCTAGGTCAGGCCTGTTTTCTGCTTGATAGAGGAGGGAAGGGGAGGGTTGCACTTTCCTGAGGAGTTGATGTTTATGCTCTTGGTTCTTTAGTTTGTTAGGGCATATATACTTAGCTAAATAGTATGCAGACTAGATTATTTTAAATAATAGAATGTTTAAAATTAGCTAGGCATGGTGATGCGTGCCTGTAATCCCAGCTACTTGGCAGGCTGAGGTAGGAGAATCACTTGAACCCGCGAGACTAGGTTGCAGTGAGCCGAGATGGCATCACTGCCCTCCAGCCTAGATGACAGAGCAAAACGCCTTCTCAAAAAAAAAAAAAAAAAAGAAAGAAAGAAAGAAAGAAAGAAAAGAAAAGAAAAGAATGTTTACAATTCTCTGAAATGAGATGAGGAATTATCACGAATGTATTTTCCACAGAGATTCCTTAGCTATGTTTTGGCAAAGTGTTTAAAAGAATGTTGGCAGGGCGCGGTGGCTCACGCCTGTAATCTCAGCACTTTGGGAGGCTGCAAGTGTCACGAGGTTGCTTTCGGGCATTCCAGCTAACTCAGGAGGCTGAGGCAGGAGAATCACTTGAACCCGGGAGATGGAGGTTGCAGTGAGCCAAGATTACACCATTGCACTCCAGTCCTGGCGACAGTGCGAAACCCTGTCTCAAAAAAAAAAAAAAAAGAAAGAAAGAAAAGAAAAAGAAGAATGTTTTTCCCCCTAGACAAATGATCTTCAAACTGGGCTAAAGAGACTCTTTAAAAAGGTATATAATGTGAGTAGTTTAAAGGTCTCAATGTGCATGGCACAACTTTGGTATATACTCTTCCCTCTTACAACGCGGACTCTTTCTTCTTAGCTCACCTTTCAAGGTAAACTTTGTCCCATTTTACAAAAGAAAGTTGAATTTGTCAGGATGTTGTGGGAAACCAACCACTTTAGAATGTCTTTGTTTCTCTTTACGATGCAGTCCCTTGGTCCCACAGAGTCTGCCCTGAGCCTGGAAGGCAGAGAACCTGGGAAGGTTCAGTGAACAGCATCACTGATCATCATGAAAGATTTACCCCTCACCTCTCCTAGATTTTACCGTAATGGTATCTGGCCCATAATGTGAAGCGCCTCCGGAGAACCAAACTAACGGAGTTCTGGAAATACTGTTTTCTTGGAAGCTTCCTGTCATGACTAATCCATGGATCAATACAAGTCCTTAAGGTTTCCAGCATTTCACTCTCTTATTCGTATTTCTTTGTAAAGATACAGTGGTGTATTAGAAGCAGAGTCTTTTGCCCGTGGTGGATCGCCCTGAAACCTGACATTTCCAAGTAGGGAATGAATGGCAACTGTCTTTTACAACCTCTCCTTTTACTTCTCAAAAGGACTGGCAAAAAGCGCATTGCTCTCTGAGGGAGAGTTTGCACCCGCAAAGCAAAGGGGGTATTGGTAAAACATACTGATGCCAAAAAAGACCGTCTTTTTTTCTTATTTAAATATAGGCCGTTTTCTTCAGCTACTCTCAGTTCTCCTCCCGAGGATGTGCCATTGACCGGGAAGAAAAAAACCTTCAAGGAACAAGCAGTGCAGATTGATTATACCATTTGCTTTAAAAGTAACTGAGATCGAAGTGTTTCAAATGATACTGACTTTTTTTTTTAAGATTTGATATGTATTATTCAATTACTGGTTAAAGTATATCTCATCAAGTCAGATCTTAAAAATATCTTGTTCGTTTTCTAAATTATTTACATTTTCTATTATTAAACATTTTATATTATGTAATAGGTGCTTAGCAGTTTATAAAACCTTCCATTGATTACAAAAAATGTTTGCTAGTAATGCAAACAAAATTAAGGAAGCAATTTTTGGATTTTTAGATATGATTTTTAATAATTATTCCAAAAAGCCAAATACCAAAATTCAATACATAGGATACACACACATATAGTAAATATCATGTTTTTATTATATTCCTTCCCTTCATAATAACATCACTTTATATATTACATTTTGTTATTAGAAATTAAGATATAAGAAATAGTATATAGATTTACTCTTGCTTTTTAGCTTGCGAAGTGGATAATTTCATTATATTGAAATCTACAAAATTTTAATCTCAATCACCTTTGGTATACTGTATTACAAAATGCACTCCATAATTTATTTTGCAGTGTTTTCATCACATTTCTTGAAATATTAATATATTTATTTATATGTTATTATAATACTTGTAAATAAATATTGACATTTATTTGAATTGAAAATGCAGTGAGTGATTTTCTGATGCAAACTAGGTCTCTATTAGTTGATAGATTCCAAAATAAGAAATAGCTTTGCTAATTAGGTTTCATAGCAGACATTTTCCATAAACTGAATGCTCTAAATCTATAGCTTTCAATAAATTGTTTCTGTTATTAGTTATAAATATGTAAAAATACATATTTAAAGCATATAATAAGGTAAAAAGGATCATTATAAAGATACTGCATAAGGAAAGTTTTAAAATAAAGAGTAATTTGATTTTCTCAACTTTTTTTTACGAATAAGCTTTTATTTGGAGTATAACATCCTTTTTAAAAATAAGCTTTTATTTGGAGTTTAACATACAGAAAGAATCCACAGATTATGAATGTACAGTTCACTGAATTATCACTAGGTGAACCCATCTATGTATCCACCACACAGGTAAAAACATAAAAGAACATTAATAGCATCTCAGAAACCCTCCTCATCTCTCTTTTTAATCTACCAATTCTTTTTAATATATTGATTTGAACAAGTTATTGCTAAATGAAAACTATATTCAAAGCAAAGCAATATATACAACAAAAAGAATAGCTAATACATGTGGTAGATTATATTATTCAGCAAGCATTCACTCCCCCCTCCCACACATTCATCGGCCCATTGATGCTGGGCATGGTCTCTGAGTTTCTTTGACCAGTGGCCATGTACTCATTCTAAGAAGTGTAGGCTTTAAGATGTACCCTGTGCTTTGACCCCTGACACAACGAGTGTATGCCTCAGAGAGCCACTGTGACTTCATCCTGAACCCCAGAATGAGACAAATGGAACAGGCTGGAACTGACTGGCAGCCGAACCCAGGTTTGCCCCAGTCCACCTGCGTACTTGCTAGGGAGAAAAATAACTACTTTTTTTTTTACATGCCACTGAAATTTTGTTTGTTAGATACACAGAAAAGGCTGACTCATATAACAATCCCTTGATAAATCTCAACGAAGCTTAAGCAATAAACTCTGCTGGAAAACACATTCATTCTTTGCTTTTGTCACAATTGAAGAATGAATTAGTATTGTCAAAAGATAGATTATTAGAACTAATTTCATCAGTCGGTAACTTCTCGGTAAATAATCCAGAAGTGAGTAAACACACTGAACAGTAACAGAACTTCCATCTCTGTCTATTCATACGAACAAGGTTTCTTACGTCTGGAAACGTATGAACAGAATCGACGTGAGCCCTGTTTCATTCAAATCATGAACAATATTTATCTAGAAGCTCCTGAAAATAACCTGACCCCATTAATCTCATTAAGAGCTTTCTTTTAGATAATTTAAAAATTGTTGTTTAATGATTATCTGTGAAAATCTGTAATGTAGTTACGTTGTTTTGACTAATTATGTACTAACAGTCGCAATGATAGCTCTCTCTAAGAGGCAATTAACGCTTAGAGCCTTATGTTCACAGGTAATTAAAAAATTAAACTTTCAATTTATAGGCATATTTTTATCATAGAAAATAATGGTGATTAACAGAGCTTCAAAAATAAATATATACTAAATACATTCTTGGGGAGGGGGGCTAGAAGGGGGATAAGAATAGAAGTCCAGGAAGAAAAAGAGATAAGATACAATTTCCCATTGTTAAATCAAATCTGATTCATAATATTTTAAGAATGGACAGTGGCGAGTGTCAAGTTGCCATTGGATATGACAGGATTTAAGTTTTATTTTTTTAATGTCTGTGGTTATCAAATTCCACAAATTATATCTTTGCAAGCTTATAAACTTCTGATAGCAATTATGAGATGTCAACCTAAAAAAAAAATCAATGAAGAATAAATAGAATTTCATTTTCTCTTGCAGGATGTCTTGAATTTAAATTTGAAAAATAATTTTTAGCTATTTTGTTTACCGATTTAAACTATTGGTGAATTATGTATGTGTCCTTTATAGAGACAAGTGTTCCAAATTTGCTGATCATTTCTGTGAAGGTAAGTGGTTATCAGTTGTTATCAACCCAGCTGACACTGAAAAAATATTAGCACAAACTGCCACTCAAAGGTAACAGTGATATGTGTTTTTACAAGAAAATAGAAAATAACTGCTTTTCGTACAAATTTCTGCAGTGGAGACAGCATTTTGAGAATTGTTTGGAAATGTTCCCATCATTATGTGATTTTGCTGCTGAGAACAATGTTTGTCACTTATAAAATTTCTTAAATCTGCATACTCTAAAAACAGGACCATAAAATATATAACCTGCTTTGTAACCTGTGTACAGTTCCAGTGGGTTTTAAACTCATTTGTTAAAAATTTAAAAATTCAACAGCTTCTGAATGACATCATGAAAAGCAAACGTTTTCTAATATTTCAAGCAATACCTACATGATGAGTAAATGGGACTAAAAAGAGTGTATCTAATGACTTAGCAAGACTGACAGTGGTGCACCTACTTTTTCCAATTTGGACCTATGTGTATTTGTGAGGTATCTTTAGAGGGAAGAGCACTTTTTAAAAGAAATACAGAAAGAAATTGAATTTAGAAAAATGTCTTTGATCACCATGTCATAAATTTGTAAACCAAGATTTTTAAAAAGAATAAAACCTATTTAGCTGGTCCGGGTCGCAGAAGCAGGATGACGAAGGGAACGTCATCGTTTGGGAAGCGTCGTAATAAGACGCGCACGTTGTGCCGCCGCTGTGGCTCTAAGGCCGACCACCTTCAGAAGTCGACCTGCGGCAAATGTGGCTACCCCGCCAAGCGCAAGAGAAAGTATAACTGGAGTGCCAAGGCTAAAAGACGAAATACCACCGGCACTGGTCGAATGAGGCACCTAAAAATTGTATATCGCAGATTCAGGCATGGATTCCGTGAGGGAACAAACACCTAAACCCAAGAGGGCAGCTGCTGCAGCATCCAGTTCATCTTAAGAATTTCACCGATTAGTCACACAATAAATGTTCTGGTTTTAAAAAAAAAAAAAAAAAATTAAAAACAAAAAAGAATAAAACCTATTTAATGACATAATTCTTATTAAAATATTAATATTAAAGCTATTGTAGAGAAGCAACAAGCTTTTTTATTTCATGATTGAACTAAATATAAATTACTTTTAAATAGTTTATTTCATCTTATCTTTAAAGTTTTTCTATTTACAAATTTGTTTTATACTTTAAATAATCCATGAGTCTGGTAGTAAATACATGCCATTGTTAAATAAGTAAATTGGGGTGCCTACTCACGCATTTTTAACTGATAGGAGGCAAGAACAAAACACTGGGAGCTACTTCTCTATAAAACTTTAGGCAACTGAGTGAGAATATCTTGATGAAATAGATTGTCTGCCTGGAATATATAAATAACCAAAATTGGCTCAAAATGTAGAAGATCCACCATGAATAAAATTGAAAAAGATGATAATTATCCCTTCAGATTTGCCAAAACCAGATGATTTTATGGATGTTATTTTAGACTCTGAAATTATAGATTTCTTTTGCAATTTAAAATGTTCCAGAGAATAAAGAAAGATGGAAATCTTCCCAGTTTATTTTAACCTCATACCAAAACCTGATAAAATTATCACAATGAAAGAAAACTATAGCTAAATTTCACTTATTATTATAGAGAATAAAAATTCCTAAATAAAATCACCAACCCAGATGTATTAAATGAGCAACAAATTACCCCCATGCTAAAGTTTATTCTTGGAATCAAGGATAGTTTAGTATAAATAAATCTATTAAGGTAATAGATACAAATGATTTTTAAGAAGATAGTGTCAACAGATATCCTCCAAAAGTACCCAACTTAGTTTAACAATCATGTTTGACAGAGTATTTAAGGAAACTAGAAAGAAATCTCCTTCAGCATTTCATATACACACAGATAAGTACATGCATGTGAAAATGGACCTCTCTGTCTCTCTGTCAGAGGTATTCCTGTGGAAATCATAAATACTTGGTGTAAACAGTTACTACTGTTTTGTGAATCTTGGTCAATATAATGGAAAAAGTTATATAAGTTTCAAAATACACAAAAAAAGAAGTATCAATGTTTGCTGTTCTTTGAATACAAAAGTTCGATAAAATGGCCATTTATAAATCATACAGACATTAACTTTAAAACAGTTTTCTAGCAATTAATATCAACTGCATAGCCATTTACTTAATTAGAAATGCCTAAAATCCATTAGAAAACAACATTTTCCAAGGGACATAGACAACTCCAAAAAAATGATGCTGCAGATAAGACTCAGTATTGTTAAAATATCAGTTCTCTAAGTTAATTAGAAGTTGTCAGAATTTTAGTGAGTTTAAAAAAAAAACATGTAATATGATTTCAAATTTCAACTAGAAAAATAAACAGACTGCAATAATTAAATTTTTGAAATTAAGAATGAGAAGAGATTTGCTCTAATGGTTTTCAAAATATATTATCAAAATATAACAATTAAAACAATGGTTCTGGAATAGATAGAACAAAGAAACAGAACAAAAATCGTAGGAGGATTTCAAGTATACTTAAGAATTTAATATACACTAAAATGACCTTTATTAACAATGAGAAAATACGTATATTACTTAGCAATGGTGCTGGAACAGCTGGCCTGCTTTGAAAAAATAGGACCAATTTCCCACCCTATACCATAATCTAAAATAATTCCAGATAAACATTTCCTTTTTCTTTTTCTTCCTTCCTTCCTTTCTTTTCTTTCTTTCTTTCCTTGTTTCCTTCTTTCTTTCTCCCTTCCCTTTCCTTCCCCTTCCCTTCCCTTCTCTTCCTTCCCGCTCCCTCCCCTCCCCTCCCCTCCCCTTCCCCTCCCATTCCCTCCCTCCCCTCCCCTCCCCTTCCTTTCCCTTCCTTCCCCTTCCCCTTCCCTTCCCTTCCCTTCCCTTCGCCTCCTTCCTTCCCCTCGCCTCCTTCCTTCCCCTCCCCTCTCCTTCCCTCCCTCCCTCCCTTCTTCTCTCTCTCTCTCTCTCTTTCTCTCCTCTCTCTCTCTCGCTTACTCTCTTTCTTTCATTTTTGGCCACTTTTGGAGTGCAGTGGCATAATCACAGCTTGTCAGAGCCTTGACCTCCTGGCCTCAGGTGATCCTCTCTCCTCAGCCTCCCAAGTAGCTGAAATTGGAAGCAAACACCACCATGTTCGGCTAATTTTGAAATTTTTTTGGTAGAGAGGGATTCTTCCTGTGTTGCCCAGGCTACTCTTGGACTCCCAGCCTCAAGCAATCCTCCTATGTTGGCCTCCCAAAATGCTAGGATTACAGGCATGAGCCACTGTGCATGGCCTCAAGATTAAATATTTTGAATATAGAAAATAAATTATATTTATAGTCAATAATTCTCTAAGCCTTAAACAAGGGTTGGATACAGATTTTGTGAGAACTAAGCTTAATCAATTTTAAAACTTTCATTAAACAAAGTGATGTCAAAATGTAAACGCAAAATTAGAGCAAAACTGAGTATCTGCTTAGAATGAGAAAACAAAGCTGATCAATACCATAGACCTCACAAATCCCAGAAAAATAACATAGCATTTTAAAATTAACATAATCTACGGTATTGTTCTCTACTGCTTTGGAGTGTATATTTGATTACCTCCTCATATGACAATGATTTTGTAACATCATTTTCTAAAGAGAAAATAACATTTTGGGAGGCCGAGCCAGGTGGATCACTTGAGGTTGGGAGTTTGAGATCAGCCTGACCAACATGGAGAAACCCTGTCTCTACCAAAAACAAAATTAGCCGGGCGTGGTGGCGCATGCCTGTAACCCCAGCTACTTAGGAGGCTGAGGCAGGAGAATCAATTGAACACGGGAGTCAGAAATTACAGGGAGCCGATCGTGCCATTGCACTCCAGCCTGGGCAACAAGAGGGAAACTCTGTCTCAAAAATAAGAGAGAAAATAAAAAGATACATCAGTCCTTTTGTCCTGGTCATCAAAGTACTTTAAATTGATAGACTGGAAACTTTTCTTACAGCTTCTCAACTCATAATAGAGAATACCGTGTACATTTTTAGTGTTGTTACTGAATTGAGAAAACCTCTAACAAGTTTCTTCATATGTGAAGTGGAAAACCTTGGGTCATGTCAAGTTCTCTATAAAGTCTAACCTTAACACATTCTTATGGCACAAGAATCATTTTCAAGAACTTCTTGGCAGAAGCTGAGGTAAAAAAATCAAACAATAAATAAAATAAGACTTTTATATTTGAATATGCTTGGCTTTAGTAAAAACACCAAATTCAAGGTTAACGTGTCATAAAACCATGGCTTTCGGAAGTTGAGGCACCTGAACACTCCAGATTTGGGAAATGACTGAAATTGGGAAGAACCAGGACCGCACCCCCCAGCCCACCCACCCTCTTTGGAGCAACAAGGCAGTGGACTGGGAACTCACAACTCTACAGGTGAGAGCCCTGTTGCCGAAGCAGGCCCCTTGGCCTCTGAGAAGAAAAGCATTGTGGTGCCTGTTAACAAATGACCAATTTCTATTGGGTTGTCCATTTGGAAGACAGGAGAAGCATTATTTTGGCAAGAAACAAGTCAAGGAAAATACAATTCGGTAGACAGCTGAAGAGGAGGTAAGCTGTGACTTTCGCCCTGGCCGCAGCCTGCAGTGACTCTGCAGCACTGTCACCGCAGAGGAGATGACAACCTTCAGCAAAGATGGAAGTTAGAAGAGCTGCTACCTACTCTGAAGGGACAGCCACATGGACTGAAGTACACACACAAAGTCCTCTGAGACATGAGTAACGTGTGAACGTGTGCAGTGTATGAAACGTTTTGTTTCTTTTCTTTTTTCTTTTTCTTTTCTTTTCTTTTTTTTTCTCTTTTTTTTTTTTTTTTTTTTTTTTTTTTTGAGACAGAGCCTTGCTCTGTTTCCCGGGATGGAGTACAGTGGCTTGATTGTGGTTCACTGCAACCTCCACCTCCCGGGTTCAAGCAATTCTCCTGCCTCAGCCTCCCGAGTAGCTGGGATTACAGGCATGTGCCACCATGCCCAGCTCATTTTTGTACTTTTTTAGTAGAGATGGGTTTCACCATGTTGGCCAGGCTGGTCTCAAACTCCTGACCTCAGGTGATTCACCTGCCTTGGCCTCCCAAAGTGCTGGGATTACAGGCATGAGCCACCACGCCCAGCCTTGTTTCATTTTTATAACAATAAGCCAGATGCCCAAAATGCATGCTCATGTCAATGACTTTCTTAATAAGACAATGTTAAGGCCACTCTTGGGGCTATATATCCTACATCATCATATCTAGAACTCACAGGTGAGCTCATGGTCACCCCCTTACTACTCATTCTTGGGGGGTCGTTCTCATTCCCATCACAGCAAACAGTTCCACAGTCTACACAGTAACTTGGACCAGAAACCCAGAAGTCATTCTAGATATCTCTTTGCATCTTTAACATACAGATTATAGTTTATATCTGTATTTTTGTTTGCCTCTTTCTGTAAAAAATTGATATAGCTACTCCATCAGAGTGCAAGCTCGTTGAGAAAAAGGTCTTAATCCCATTTCTGTATGTCTAAGACTTCAGGCACTATCTTGAACACAAAACATATTTGTGAGCTGAAATAATACTTTTAAACCCGAAACGGTTTAATTATATACCACACAATGTATTTAAACATTTAAGCATTTTCACTTTTTTTTTTAATAAAGGTCAAAGATTTTAAATATTAGTAGTCAAAGATCAACACTCCTGGCCTATATAGGATGGTTTGTTCCCTAAAGGCTATGCAGAGTAAAGTTCTATCAGACTCCTCTGCTATGCTGGCAGGTCAGATGTCTTCACTCACTGGCAGTAACACCTCAAGTGTCATTCAGGCCTGAGGATGGTGCCCTTTCTAGTCAGGAGGTGTTTGGACCATCCATATTG